TTGATTAATTTTCATGTCAAACTGGGGTTTTGAATGTGTGCTCATTGCCATTAAGTGTGACTCGCCTTTTCAGTAGACCAACGCCAGTGATGCTGCTAATTGCGGTTCTTTGCTTTCGATTGATTTGCTGTGAGCACAAATAAACAAACTTATAAATAACATAAAAGAATTTATCTGTGTTCAAAGAACTATCAGATCGTGCGAGTTGTTTGCCTTATCTGAAGTCATAAATCACAAAAATACGTAAAAATCTAATCTTGCCTTATTAATAAAGCAGAGACTTTGCGTGGTTAAAGAAAGCAATTACCAAGCATTGCCGATAAGTCTGCGGCTCCAATATTCTTGACTTCGGTCCTCTTTATTCCAGCAAAATCAAGAAAAAAGGCCTCAGTTCTTGGGACTTCCGATTTATTCAGTATAAATGAGGGATTTCCCAATTTATGTGCCTTGAACAACGTCTATTATTCCGCTAGTAACAGAGTATTGATGTTTGATTTGTATATCAGTTGACATTAAGTACACATGCAACTGGAGTCTACCAGTCCCACCATCAGCAACAAACCAACATTGGGAAAAGCATCCACCCTACCTATGTCACCAATAAGAGAGTTTCAGAGCCACCTTGAGTCCTTCACTGTTCGAGTTTGCTTATATTTCCTGATTTTTTGTGTGTTTGTGTTTCTCTTACCAAGATATATCCCACTGAATGGTCCCATGAGGCTTTGGGGTCGGAAAATGCTATCAAACATTCATATAGGCATGTTATTCAATGCCTCCCAACAGTCTTCACACCCTTGGTCATGGTTCACTTTTTCATTTATTGTTATGAAATTCACAAAGTAGAAAGGCCATGCAAGTGCTGCAAAGCGCTCCATAAACTACTGTGTTGGAACATTAAATTTTGTAGTCCAGGCCCCTCCATTCGTGTCAGTTGATATAGTGTTGCGTCTGTTATGTGAGTTCCTCAATCACTGTCCATTGTCCATATCGTACTCACGTGAACAGATTAGTCATGCTTCCATACTTTCTTTAAACGCTATCGCCTTTAAATATTTGACAGATTTAGCCATGGGAATTGTAGGCGCCAATTTGGAGTCCAATGCGAATGGCATCAAGTGACTGCACCTTTGAGACCGAGAGCTTAATTCCAGTGGGCTTTCCATCTGAAACAGCAGGGATTCCAATCTCCTCTGGAAGCACTTTGCAAAGGGGACAACACTTTCTACTACACCAATCCCCTGTCCTCGGTTGCCCCATGTCTCGCGGTCCTACAGTTGAGATGATAGCGGTATCCTGCGGTCAGGATGAACAACGCTCCGATAGCGGACGTGGAGCTAGCGACGAGGAAGCCATGTTCCAGGGACCATTCCCACCCATACTCTGTGGCATTTCCGTTACTGCTACAGAAAAAGTCTCCTGTCCTGTTACGCTAGCTGCAGACCACCGAGGTTGGTTCCCGTTAGACAGAACGAGGTGGTATACGTCACGGCAAAAATTTCTTGGTCAGAGGCCTTAGGTGTTTTATTCCTATGGCCTAACCCATTCCCTACTATTTAAGCTACATGTTTCCACTAGATACAGAGCTCTTTTATTTAAATTCCAATGTTATTAAAAAATATTCGAACTGGATATTGACAATGGCAGACTGATTGAAATAAGCACCTAGTGAAAGCTAACGTCCCAAATTCACTATCTGCTCATGCAAAAAAGGGCTGTAAATAGGCGAAAATGAAATGCCATTTTTTATTGTAAGATTTTATTACACTTTCCACATTTATCCCGTCTAAACTTTAAATATTTTATCGCTTATTTTCTTCTCTAGATTTCATTAGCACTGTCGCACACGTTGAGACCAGTGAGACGCCCGTCACCACAACAAGTGGCATATACTTGTGTGCAAGCTCCTTAGCTGGTCAGACAGGAACCATTTCCACGGCTTCTGGAGCTGAAGAGAGACCTCAGAGATCCGTGTCGACGTTTGTAACTGCCAATGAGAAGGAGAATGGGAGCCTGCCACTTAGCGAGGTGCCTTCCGCCTTGGTTGGAAACGTCAACAAGACATTCAGCTTGCCACGAGAGGGCCTCTGTATGACACAAAGCCTTCTCGATGATCATACTGCTGACGAGAGCGCCAACAGACTATGTCAGGAGATTGATCACCTCCTCTTTGACAATATGATTTAGTGTTTTGTCTCTTCTCTCCCTCTCTTCCCCTACATTAATGTGACTTTACGTGTGAACTGCGGAGACACGGGCATTCCGCTTATACACGCTTTATGCAGAAAACTGGCTGAAAGAGTAAGCATGCCTGCTCTGTTTTTGAGGGTGTCGAGAGTTCCCTTGAATCTCGTTCTAACAAGTACTCTTTATGCAAGTTTTCCTCAATGTATGCACGCAATTGTAGATATTGTGATTGTGTGTATAAATGTAGGAAAGCTAAAACATTTTGTCACTTTATCACAATAAAATTTTCGTAGTTTCATTCCTTTGTATCTTAAAATATGCTAGCAGCACAACTTTTCAAAATGCCAAACTGATTTGTGCATATTCATGAAGGTGTGTCAGGTGAGATGCGAAAGAAGGCCTCAACGCATTGTGATTAAAATCGTGAACATTTTCAGTTTAGGGCAAGACGTGAACATAAATTCTAGACTTTTTACCACAAAAAACTACTTTAAAACGTTATCTTAAGTCAGGTAGGAATGACTGAGCTAGAGTCGTTCTTTCATTAAAAAATAACTTTTGATTAAGCGCTTGTCATATTTTCCTCTGAAAATGTAGGTTCCAGTCCCTTAAGCTTGTAATTTGTAGAAGACCTATTTCATGATTTGGATGCGTATTTAACTAGATACCTCATATGTTCGTTCACACAGGAGTCCTTCCATAGCGAGTAAATACTGTGATTGCCTTATTTCGACGACGTAACAACCATCCGATGGAAACATGGGCCCAAAATTTAAGGACA